GATTTTGTCATTTTTTGTTTTTATTCATTTTATTTCAGTTTTAGTTATTTTAGTACATTAAGTTAAACTAAATGAAAATGATAAATATTGCATTGGAAGCTAGCTGTAATAAAATTACTGTAATAAAAATGTTTGTGGATTTTTTTAAAGGGATTTATGAATTTAATACACATATATAAAACTATAAATTGATCAAAAGTAACATTAATGTTCAGTAAATTATATATTTTTTTACTTTCTATTCATCAAAGAATCCTGAAAAATAATGGTTTCCACAAAAATATTACACAGCACAACTGATTTCAACACGGATAATAATCAGAAATGTTTCTCGAGCAGCAGATCAGCATATTATACTGATTTCTGAAGATCATGTGACACTGAAGACTGGAGGAATGATGCTGAAAATACAGCTGCGCATCACAGAAATATATTACAGTTTAACACATATTCACATAGTACACAGTTATTTTAAATAGTAATAATATTTCACATTTTTGCAGCATTCTTGATCAAATAAATCCAGCCTTGGTGAGCAGAAAAGATCTTACTAACCCCAAACTTTCAGTATACAGTATTTTGATAGTCCAGTCACTCAGATTCGGGTGACAGATGTGTGTCTGTAAACGCAGCCAGAGGGGAGGTGATCTGATCTCGCTCTGATTCTCTTTAACTAGCAGAGTTTCCTAATGCAAACATCACTGTAACTGTCAAGCATAAATGCAGTATTTCAGTGTGAAGCACAATGTGCATCGAGTACAAAATCAGTGCCGGTGAGTTTTGTGCTGTCAAACCCCACGCACTCTCTGCAAGCATCTACAGCAGCAATTTAGCAATATGTCATGTTTACAAGAGCTGATGTTAATTTAGTCTGTAATTAACCTTTGAGCGGTGCAGCGCTGCAGTCGCTCTGATATTTCTGACTCTGAAGTGAGGTTTGCACCAGGGCAACAGCAGCAGCAGCAGCTCTCAGGAACAATGCCACGCCGTGTGATTGAACATGTGACCCCAGAACTCGCCTTTGTGCAGGTGACCGAAACAATGTGCTGCTATGGCAACAGTTTTGGCCCACAGACAGCCGATAGGGCAGCTGCATGCTCTGAATCAGACTCTCTCACATGTGCATTTGGGTTTGCTTGTATGACGTCATGGGTTTTAGTGTTGAATGTTGTGAATGTTTACCGTAGCTCAACTCTTGCTAATGCAAATGTACAAATTCTCTGTGGATGCATTTTATTTCATGCATTCAAAATACTAGACATTTATATTATTTCTCATTTTGCATTGATGGCATACATTGTTATTTTACTTCGTGCATTGAAATACTAGACATTTACATTAATTCTGCAGCGTATGACTTACATTGCATTGAAGATATTATTTTTAAATGTTATTTAATCAATTTAAATATTATACTTTTATATTATTTCTTACATTGCATTGAAGATATTATTTTTTTTTATTTTACTTGATGCATTCAAGTACTAGATTTTTATATTATTTCTTACATTGCATTGAAGATATAATTTTTAAACTTTATTTAATCAATTTAAATATTATACTTTTATATTATTTCTTACATTGCATTGAAGACATCTTTTTTTTATTTTACTTGATGCATTCAAGTACTAGATTTTTATATTATTTCTTACATTGCATTGAAGATATAATTTTTTAACTTTATTTAATCAATTTAAATATTATACTTTTATATTATTTCTTACATTGCATTGAACAAACAGTTTAAAAAAAATATTAATGCATTCAAATTATAGATTTTTATATTATTTCCTACATTGCATTGAAGACATGATTTTTTTATTTATTTTACTTAATGCATTTAAACACTAGCCTTTTACATTATTTCTTACATTGCATTGAAGATGTATATTTGTTATTTTATGCATTCAGTATTGGGTAGAAATTGCTTTTTGTGAGTACAAAGTATTAAAATCAGAAACTAAGAAACTAATGTAATTTTATTGGTAATAAAATTGTAAACCAAGAAGAAAGTTCAGTGATTGTAATTATAGTATTTAATTATATATAATTATTTTAATACATTTTCTTTATTTTAAAACGTTGAAAGTTATCAAATTTGTCATTATGCTTAAATAAGACTCAACAAAGTTGGAAATAAGCTAAAAATGATTTCTATTTACGAACCAGCCAGGGTCTTCACGATGTTGCATAATCTGGATATATTGTAAAATATGTGTGTAAATGACATTTCTGTGAAATCTGTGAATGAAGCATTTTGTAAGCGTTGTTTTGTGAGACGTCTCGCACGTGTAATTGGACTGTCCTCGGGGAAGGGGATTCCGAGCGTCAGACTTTTAATCATTTTGAGTGGCTTCTTTCATTCATGAACTGCAGCCGAACAATTATTGGCAGGAAATTGCAGCTGCTCACGACGCTGGAGTTGATTATAAGAGCACCGGCACTCGGAGCGCGTCTAATCAAACACACACACACACACACACACACACACACACACACACACACACACACACACACACACACACTGTCCATTGAACGCGGGCCTGTCGCCCCCCTCGGAGCGTGTAGGTGGTAGATGTGACATTTAAAACCAGTTCCACATCTCACCTGCTGTTTACAGGCCTCACAGTCACAAAACAGCCCTGTGTCACGGTACATGAGACCTTTACACAAGAACTCCATCCTGACTTGGATTTGAAATGTGACGCTTATTTTGAACAGCTATAGAAGTCGACTGCTTACACGCAGTAGAATAGAAGAATAAAGTCAAGTCAAGGTGTGCTATCGTTTACCCACACCTCTTCTGCGCCACACAACAGATGTAATGCTGTTCACTCTCATAGCGTGGATGTATTTCACATGATGATGATGAAAGTCTTTGGGGTTTTGAGCAGTGGTTAAAAATGAAGATGTATGCTAAAATTATATTTCTTGTTTTATTTTGTTTCTTTGACAGATATAGTTTTTACTTAAGAACAAGGTTCCCATTGTATGAGATCATTTTAAAAGTGTGATTTCTGGACCTGGAAAATCATTAAAATTAAAATTGAAATTAAAATTGAAATTAAAATTGGAATTGGAATTGGAATTGGAATTGGAATGAAATTAAAATTAAAATTATTTACATTTAAATTTAAATTTAAAATAAAAAAATAGAAGTTCAATTTCAACTTATTTCATTGTTTATATATAATTTCTATGTTTATATATAAATAAGTAATTAAAACGTGTGTGTGAGTGTACACATATGTATATATAAACTTGTTTTTATATATTTTTAAATGTTTATATATAAACAGTAATTAAATCTCAAACATGTTGTTGGGTACATATTGCTTTTTGTGAGTAAAAAGTAATTTAAAATTTTTTTTAATTTAAAATTGAAAACTAATGTTATTTTACTGGTAATAAATAGTGTAAACCAAGAAAAACATTCAGTTATTATAATTATAGATATCGTTTTATTTTATTATTTTAATTAATTGCCACTCCTAGTTTCTGTAAGTAAAATGTTAGAAAATAAACAGATTTGTCATTAATTGTCATTGTCTAAAATAAGACAAAGCCAGGTTTAAAATAAGTTATAAAATCAAGTAAAAATCAGTTTTAATTTATTTCCTTAACAACTGTAAATTAATAGATAAGATAAAAAGTAATTTTTTATTGTATATGTATATATATATATCAATTAAAGTTGTTAAAAAAACATGTATATATATATGAAGAGTTTGGTTCCAAAACACGATGACCAGCATTTTAAAATAAAATTTAGTTTCCGCCAAAATCAGTATTGTATCTGGTCGGTATTGAAAAGTACATTTTTTACTTTACGCAAAATGCAATATCTGCCGAGTTATTCTGTCATGTTTTCTCCCTTTCTTTCCAAACCGCAACAAACGCCAGTCTCCCTTCTCTGCAGAATGCGACATATCCGCTCAACCAATCACAGCGCACCACTCCACGCATTCTAGACAGTAACAACCAATCACTGCACCACTCCACGCACAGATGAGTCACATTCGATTATGAACGTGATATTGCGTAGCTTGTCAGTGTAAGTGTTTTTATTAATGCCATTAATGTTTTTGTTAATACAGCGTATAGCACTAGTCAACTAAATGAATGTAACATGGCAAAGATGAATGCACTTCTGGAAGTTGAATGCAAGGGAAATGTCATTTTGGAATTTCTGTGGTCTAATGTGATATTGTTGTTCATGTATATTCATGATGAAATTTTATTTTATTGTTGTAATTAATTTATAGCATTAACAAGATGACCCGTTGAATTCTTTTGGGAGCGATGACTGATTGAATGTATTTTTAGTCCAGTGCCTGCATATAAGATTAGTATTAAGTTCAGAGGCTGTCATATGTGGATCAACTTACTATGTTGTGTATTTTCAACAGTTTCAATATGAAAAATTACTTTTATATTGATTTTATATTATTCATATTATTGCATTTTGGGAAGAAAAAAAAACCGTGTCATAGATTTATTGCATTTTGGGAAAAAAAATAATAAAATTTTATAATAAATCTTTGAAAATCAAAATCTGGATTTGAATTTTTAATGTTATTATAGCCTATAGATGCTATGTGAAAGTTTTTAAACAGAAAATAGTGGTTTTCATCTTGCCACTTTTGTAATAAAACAAAATCATCATCTAGAAACGTCACGGAAATTCATTGGTAGTAAAAAGTGTAAACCACAAAGAACGTTCAGGTATTGGAATTATGGATATATATTTCCATTTCTGGATTCTGTAAATAAAAAGTTTGAAAATGAGCAGAATTGTGATTATAGCAGAAGCTTTGTTATAAATCAGAATTATCTTCAAAAAGCTTGAAAAATGCTGGTTTAGAGTTTATAAATGAAAAGAGCTGCTGGGTTGAGTCAAACTATAGGTGGATTTGGAGAGATCGTGCCTGTTCTTTATAGCTTCTCTAACAGATTCAGCTCTTCTGTTCTCCTGAATGCTGTGCTGCTTCTCTCTTCAGGTCTTGAACCTCTTCTTGGCGTTGCTCCTGAGCTCCTTCAGCGCAGACAACCTCTCATCTCCGGATGAGGACGGCGAAATGAACAACCTGCAGATCGCCATCGCTCGCATCCAGCGCGGGATGCTGTGGCTCCGGCAGGCGCTCTGCGACTTCTTCAACGGGAACTTCAAGCGGCGCCGGCAGAAGGCCAAGGAGGCCAAAGCCATGCTGAAGCTGAAGAGACTGAGCCAGCAGACGCACTGGGCCGAGGGCAACGGGACAGCCGTCATCGAGCGCGCCGCGGAGGACGACAGCTATATGACCAACCCGAACCTCACCATCAGCGTCCCCATCGCGCCCGGAGAGTCCGACCTGGAGTTCCCCGAGGAAGATGATGAGGAGGAGGAGGAGGAGGAAGATGAGTCCAGTGAGAGCTCAGAGGAGCGAGAGGAGACCAAACAGGTGAGTGAATGAAGCTGAATCATGCACACTTACCAGGGTTAATATATAGTTCAGTCATGAAACTCTAGATGGTGCAGGCTGACGGGTTGTTTATGTAACTGATGATATTCAGAGAGTTAAACGACTTGGCACAAGCTGATTGGTTCATGCTGCATATGCAGCCAATGAGCTTACTGCCTTGCATTTATATGGCTGGCTAGCATTCACTAGAGATTCCTGCAGCGCGCTTTCAGAGTTTCTCTGAAACCCTCCACCTTCCCCAGCTCCACCTGTATAGATCTGCTATGGGTTATTTTATATGCTATTTGTGCAGCAGCAGTATGTCTTAAATATTCACAGCACTGTATCGCCATTTAAAAAAAAAAAAAAAAATATATATATATATATATATACACAGTACAAAACTAAAACTTATTTCAGACAATTGCAGAGGAAACATTTCTTATTTTCATTTCTGTCATGACAACTCTCGGAGATGGAGTATTTGGTCTTGGCGGAATAGATCTGTTACGCTGCTGCTGCTGCTGCCAATACATCCACAACATGCTGCTGTGAGCATGTAAGAAATATTGCTGCTGCAAATATAACATACATGAAATAACCCCTATATAGCGTGCATGAATCACCTCGTAGCAGATCTATACAGGTGGAGCTGGGGAGGTGGAGGGTTTCTGAAGCAAGCTGCACTGCTACGGCAAGCACTAGTCATATATTTTGAGTGTTGAGCAGCGAGCTCATTGGCTACCGATACAGGAGAGAACCAATCAGCTGTGCCATGTGATAATGATGTCATTAGGTCAGATTGAGTTAGACCTATCGGACTGCGCCATCTAGAGTTTCATGCCAGAACTCAGTATTTAGGTTTACTTGATGTACTAAAATAACTAAAACTGAAATAAAAATGAATAAAAACTATGTAGACATGTTTAAAATGTCACAAAATTAAAACTAAAATTGAAATGAAAACAGAAAATAGAAAAATAAAAACTGATTCAAAATATTGACAAAAACTATAAGAGTATATCAATAATGCTAAAAAAACACTGGCTCAATGAATATGACACAATTTGACATACAGCATGATTTGGGAGCAATGTTATATTAGTATTATTTAAATGCTGTTTTTGAAATGTATTATAGCTTCTATTAATAATTTGAATTGGATTTATTTAATTTTATTAATTGGATTATTTATTATATTGTCAGTTTTTTTATTTGACTCTAAATTGTGTTATATATATATATATATATATATATATATATATATCTTAATATACTTTAATATATACTTTAATTTAGCCAAGCTAAACAATACATTTTATATTTTCAGTTTTCACGTAAGTTAAATTTTTAGTATTTTTTAATTTATTTATTTTTTATTTATTTTTTATGTTACGTGCTTTTGTCACTTTAATTTTGTCAAGCTAAACAGTTATTTTTATATTTTTATTTGTCATGTTCATTTTATTTATTTATTTTTTGTAATCTTATGTGCTTTTGTGACTTCAATTTTTGTCAAGCGGAACATTTTTAAATATATTTTCAGTTTTAATGTTAATTTATTTTAATTTTTAGAATGTTTATTTTTAGTAGTTTTGTTGAGCTAAATAATTATATATATATATATATATATATATTACATTTAAATTTAGTTTTTATTTAATTTATTTTCTATTTTTATTTTTAGTAATTTTGTTATGTACTTCTGTCACTTATTGTTTTTCCCCCTTAATATTACTATTCAGGTTTAATTTAGTTTTAGTTTGTATTTATTTCCAGTAATTTGAGTGCTTCAACCTAAACTAATTACAGTTAGTTGCTGATGCAACATTTCTAATATTTATATTTTATATTATTTCAGCTTTATTTCAATTAACAAAAATGTTTATAATAGTTATCAATAATAACCCTGTTTGGGAGACTAGAATCCTAGTCCTCAATACTATTTGATTCATATTTGATTGTCTGGCTTCTAAACATGTTTATGAAATGTTAATTAGTGCTTCAAGACTAGTCACTGGACGTTTCTGAAGTTTTGCATTTAGTTTTAGTTTTTTAAATTGGTTTAGTTTGAGACATTTAGTGGGAAGCAAGCAAGAGATCGTTGGACTCAAGTGTACTGTACAGTTTGCTTTGTTGTAGTTATGTTTGTTTTCATATTTAGCCATCGTAAAACATTGTGTAAAACAATCAAATGCAGTCAAACAGATGCTTGTCTTGTCTAATAATGCGGTCAGTCAGAGAATCTGTCAAACGGAACAGACTTATTATCGAGTGTCGTGTTGTTACATGAGGCTGGATCTATAATATGCTTTAACGTTTATGCGCTCATGAATGTTTAATGTGAGTGATCGTCAGCTTAACGGCACGATAACGCAGCTGCATCGTTTATGTTCCCTAAACATATTGGTTTCTTAAACTCTCGTCATGTTTTAAGTGCTGCAACGTGTTTTTGAGGACAGCTGCGTGCGGATGAAGGTGTTAACACAAACTGTTAGCATCTTCTGTTGGTCTGGCTCTCTTCCTCCGAGCCGTGCGTCTCTGTCTCTTCACCCGGTCAGACGAGGTCGAGCACACAGAGACTAATAAGTAGCTCTCAGACGAATGGGAATCGCAGTTATGAACACCCACTCGCAACTGCTGTTTTCTCCTGCGTCTTCCTCCAGAGATGTTTTCCCTTCAAAAACAGGCATGTCGTGTCCTCATCGGATGTCATGGCCAGATTTATTTTTGTTTCGTATGTACATGAGAACATATTGGCCAGCCTGAGTAAAAGTCTTGAGGTTAAACCGACTGAAACACAACCTGCGGTTTTGTGTGTGTGTGTGTGAGAGTGTGTGCATGTGTGTGTGTGTCTGTCTGTCTGTCTGTCTGTCTGTCTCTATCTCTCTATTTCTATATTAATATTAATATTTTATTTTATATTTTTAACTATTTGTAAATATTTTAAAATATATATTTTTTAAATATATATATATACTACATGAAAATGACAAATGCTAGCTAAAATAAAATAAGTTTTTAAATTTCATTTTATTTCAGTTAATATTATTTTTTTCAAGTAACAAAATTTTTTTATGGTTTTATTTTTATTTTTGGTTAACAGTAAAATCCCTGGTAGTGAATGTGGTTAGTCTTAGCATTTATATATTTTTTAAATAGTTTTTTTTTTTTTTATATTTTGTAAAATATATTTTTTCTTAAGTTTGTTAATATATTTTTCATAATTTGTTTTCGTTTAAATTCTAGTTTTAATTTTAGTTTTTTTTAAAAATATGTTTATATTGTTTTCATTCATTTTTATTTCAGTTTTAGTTATTTTAGTGCATCAAGTTAAACTACTGTAAATGAAAATGAGAAATGTTGCTTTTGCAGCTATAGCCGATTTTTACATTTTTTATGGTTTCCAGTTTAGTTAACTATAATAACCCTGTTCCTGTTTGTGGTTCGTCTCAGACTGCTGAAAGCATGATGAACTCTTTAACAGCGAGGCATTTATTAATCGCCGGATCAATTAGACTTAAAGGCATTCTGAGTGAAAGTGCGTGTGATTTCCATTCCTTGCGGATCTTTATTCTCTAAGTGCTTTTCTCAGGTCCTCACAGACAGTGACCCGTAAGTGACTGGGATCCTCTCTCTGTTAGAAATGAATCTGGGCCGTGGCGTCCGGCTCGGCTTGTAGTCACGCACCTGTGACGAAGGAGTTTCATTTTCGTCTCTTTAATCTTTCACTACACCTGTTCTACCTCATTCTGTCCATCTTTTATCTTTTCGTTTAGCTGTTCTTTTATCTTGCGCCGCACCTGTCCTCTCCCACTCGATCTTTCGCTGTCCTTTCTCTCGTATCTCGTGTCGTTTTCCCTCCCGGCACAGATTATCTGGGTTTCCCCGAATCACAAAGCTTGGTAATAGTCCAGAACTTTCTCTCTCTTTAATCATCAGGGATGTGGGAAGCACATGAGGATGTTTGTTCAGAACAGCTTCTATTTCTGATGTTCTGCTTTCTATATAAATACTGATGTAAGAGTGACGCGGACGCCCCGGAGACTTATATTATACTGTACATTAGCATTTCCTCAACATTTACATTTTCATTTTATAGCTCTGCGCTCCTACTGTATGACAACTACTGACTCATTTGTGCCTGGTGTTAATTTTAGGAATTAAACAAGGAATTTTATTTACTAAAATCCATAATACTAATATTTATTTATCTGTTTGTTTGTTTATTTATAGATATTTATAGATATACTAATATTAGTTTACATTTATTTGTTTGTTTGTTTATAGATAGATAGATTTAGTTGCAGTTTGTAGATTGATCCTAATATACATTATTTATTTGTTTAATTATTTAATTATGTATAGTTATACTAATATTTATTTATTTAATTTTAATTAAATTAATTTAATTTAATTTATTTATAGGTATAACATGCTAATATAAATTTTTTTATTTATACACATACAAATATTAATCTACATTTGTTTGTTTGTTCATAGACACACTAATACAAATAGTTAATGATTGATTGATTGATGTAATACTAATATACATTTATTAAATTATTTATAGGTATAGTAATATATGTTTATTTTTTGGTGTACTGTTTATTTATTACAGTAATACAAATACTAAAACATTTATTAAATATAGATAAGTATACTAATATTGATTTATTTATACTAATGTTTATGCATTTATTGATAGATAGATAGATAGATATTGATTGATTGATTGAATTATTGACTGATTGATAGATAGACATACTACCAGTAATACTAGTACTTGTGTGCACGTATTTATTTATTTATTTATCGTGCCATTATTTAAATTAAATTTGCATTTCCTCTTACTGACTGACTTGTGTGTGTTGTTATCTTTAAGGGATTTGTTTGAGGAGCGTGTGATGTGTGGCTTCGTGTTTGTTGTGTGTTCGTGCGGTTGGTTTTCGCAGCGCTGTAATGTCAGGATCACATCTGAATCACTGAACACAGCA